AAAAAAAAAAAAAAAACAACAGGAAGTGGCTGAGAGTTCAGGTTCTGGGGCCAAATTGCCTCTATTTGAACCTTGACTTGAAGAGTTACTGGCTGGTGATCTTTCTTACTTAACTTCTCTGTGCTTGTCCTTCTTATCTGTAAAATGGGAATAATAACAGTATCTACCTCTTAGCATCATTGTACTTAGGTGACATAGTTAGGCGTCAATAAATGATAGCTATTTATGAACAACCTGTTACGAACAGAATTGCATTCCTCTGCCCTCTTAGAAGATGGTCTGCTCTTCCCAGCCCTGGGGAAAACCCCACCAGCAACTGTAGTCAGGCTTCTCCCCAGCAACTGCCCTCTGCCTGGCCTCTGAATTTCTTTCTTACTCTCCTTCCTCTTTGCCCACCCTTTCTGCTGGTAATCTCACTGTATTCCATCCCTAGCCTTGGAGCTGGTGAAGGAAGCCATCGACAAGGCTGGCTACACAGAAAAGATTGTCATTGGCATGGATGTCGCTGCCTCGGAGTTTCATCGTGACGGCAAATATGACTTGGACTTCAAGTCTCCTGCTGATCCTTCCCGATACATCACTGGGGACCAGCTAGGGGCCCTCTACCAGGACTTTGTCAGGGACTATCCTGGTGAGAACAAGGGGTGTGGGAGGGAGGGCAGCGCGAGGGTCAAGGGGCAGGCAGGGGCGTGTGGGGCAACTCTGGACCATATGGGGTGCTGACTCAGGTGCCAGGTAGAGGTCTAAGAAGAGCCTGAGAATCAGGATGAGAGGGGGGAGCGGGGGAGGTGGCGGGGCAGGGGGAGGAGCCTCCTGCAGAGACAAGCTTTGTAGGTAGTTTAAATGTGCAGGTACCCATAGTGAATCTGTTTTTATCTACTTCTGTCCTAATTAAAGTCATGTGTTCCAAAGCTACGGGGATCACGGGGAGGGCTTTTGAAGGAAGCAGCGATGGTGAGAGAGTGATGGGGCCCAGCAGGGAACTTGTACATATCAGTGTTTTTGACTGATGAAGTTGTGGATGCTGAGTGGAGCTGCAAGCGCTGTGGGAGTAGAATAGGAAGGCTGACGAGGAGCCGAATTACCCTCTCCAAGCTTACCAAGGGCTGGGACCCCTGCATGGAGGAAGCTGGTTTCCATTTCCCTGAGACAGAGCAAGAGAAAGTAGATATAAATGCAGAATAGCATATAAATAGGATGTAGAATAGCACTGAGGAAAGGTCTCCCAGTAGTGAAAGTGGGAAAATGCAAAAGTAGTTTTGAGAAAGACTGTGAACCCTTGGTTTTTGGAAGATTTTCTTTTTTCCCTTTCTTTTCAAGATTTTATTTATTTGAGAGGGAGAGAGCACGGGGTGGGGGGGGGCGGCAGGGCAGCGGGGAACAGATGGGGAGGGAGGGGGAAAGAATCCCAAGCAGACTCCATGCTGAGTATGGAGCTTGACGCAGGGCTCGATCCCACAACCCCGAGATCATGACCTGAGCCGAAACCAAGAGTTGGACACTCAACCTACTGAGCCACCCAGGCGCCCCCGGTAGGTTTTCTGAAAGAACTGAAATAAGAACCGGGGCAGGCTTATCTTGGAGGCAGGGAAGCAAGGATGGGCAGGCTTAGTTAGCCAGGGGATCTGTCCACCCAGGAGGTGTTCCTGCCTGATGCAGAGCCCCAGGGAGGGTCAGCAGCCCCTCCTGCTCTCCTTCTAGTGGTCTCCATTGAGGACCCCTTTGACCAGGATGATTGGGCTGCCTGGTCGAAGTTCACAGCCAATGTAGGGATCCAGATTGTGGGTGATGACCTGACAGTGACCAACCCAAAGCGTATTGAGCGGGCAGTGGAGGAAAAGGCCTGCAACTGTCTGCTGCTCAAGGTCAACCAGATCGGTTCGGTCACTGAAGCTATCCAAGCGTGAGTATCCCCTGGCTGTCCCCGACCCAGCCTGTTTCTACAGGACACCTCCGGCAAGTGCTCCCAACCTCCTCCTGGCACAGATGCTGAAGAGAGCGGGGAACCTGCATCACTTTCCCGGCTCTTTTGGCTCTGTCCCCCTTCACCCCATGCCCTTTGCCCCTCCCAGGGAGCTTCGTGCTGGGTGTTTCTCAACATAGACCAGTGGGGGCGCTGGGAAGGGAGTGCCTGGTGTGAGGGGCTGGGGGTCAGTGCTGGTGTGTGGCTGCAGGTGCAAGCTGGCCCAGGAGAATGGCTGGGGGGTCATGGTGAGTCATCGCTCAGGAGAGACCGAGGACACATTCATCGCCGACCTGGTGGTGGGGCTGTGCACAGGCCAGGTGAGTGCAAGGGAGATCTTTGTGTAATTGGGTTCTGGTCAGGTGGGTGGGTCTCTCTTTCCGGGTGTTTGCGGGTGTCAGGAGAATGTCAAAGGAATGTAAGTTTTCTTTTAGGAGATGAAGGGGCAGCCACTGAGCTGCTTATCTTTGGGCATGTTTCAGATCAAGACTGGAGCCCCGTGCCGTTCGGAGCGTCTGGCTAAGTACAACCAGCTCATGAGGTGAGGACACCTGGGGGATAGGAGCCCAGGGCCCAGAGGGGTAAAAGCTCTGTTGGCCCACCATCCCATCTCCGATACCCAGGGCCTGGAAAACAGTAGCTATCCAGAAAATACTTGTTTTTGAATGATGGCTTTACCGATGGCCTGATCCAGGGCTCCCATAGGTCACGTGGGAACGCCAGGGCATGCCCACGCTTGGGCCAGGACATCGAAGCAGCTGGTGTGACGGGTTTGGAGGATAGGGGCCTCCCGGAAAGAGAAGCGGGATCCTCCCCGCTTCCCTGACTCTTTCCTCTCTGGCTCCTCTTTCTCAGAATTGAAGAAGAGCTGGGGGATGAAGCCCGCTTCGCCGGACATAATTTCCGCAATCCCAGCGTGCTGTGATCCCTCTCCTTACCCGGAGACTTGGAACCCCTCTCCCATCCTCCTGGAACCTCTTTCTTCCTGTCCTGCTCTGTGACATCTCACCCTGCCCGCCGCCC